ACTCGGCGGACGACATGCTCAACGTCGACCTGACCAAGATCCACTACCTCAGCGGTCCGTTCGAGGTCGAGGACGCTCAGCCGGGGGACCTGCTCCTGGTGGAGATTATGGACGTTCAGCCGTTCGAGGACCAGCCTTGGGGCTTTACAGGTGTATTTGATAAGAATAACGGCGGTGGGTTTTTGGATGAATTGTATCCAACGGCGTAAGTTGTTTCATTGTCACATCACGTCACTCACTCTCACTCTCATCGACAACACTTATGTATCATACATAATGAACGCAATCCTCACCGTTCTCATCCTCTCTCACCGAAAAACAACCCATATTAACGCTGTGAACGCAAATAGGGCAAAGGCAATCTGGGACTTTGAAGGAATCTACTGTACCTCGAGACACATCCCGGGAGTAAAATTCGCCGGGCTCATCCACCCGGGCATCTTGGGGTGCGCCCCGTCCGCCGAAGTCCTCGACACCTGGAACGCGCGCGAGGGCGAGCTCATCGCGGCCAACAAGCTCGACCGCGACGTCGCGAAGCCGCCGGAGCCGATCAACGTGCACGCCGGCGCGGCGAACGCGGAGCTCAAGGAGAAGGTTGGTAAGGAGGGGGCCAGGACGATTCCTGGGCGGCCTGAGCATGGCGGGAACTGCGAGTGAGTTTTTGAGCATCCTCTTTACTTCTTTCTACCCTTGAGAAATTTCGACGAGGAAATCTGGAGGGTGATAGACTCGGGGATGATGGGAAATGAGAGTCACTGACGTTGAGGGGAATAGTATCAAGAACCTGAGCAGAGGAAGCAAAGTCTACCTACCCGTCCACGTCCCCGGCGCCAAATTCAGCGTCGGCGACCTACACTTCTCTCGTAAGTTTCCAACTAAACCAACTGTGCTTCCCACCCCCCCCCCCCCCCCCTCTCTCTCTCTCTCTCATATGACCATGTATCCATATCATCAGGTAGCTCACTAACCATATCCCAGAGGGCGACGGAGAAATCTCCTTTTGCGGCGCCATCGAGATGGCGGGCGTCATCACGATAAACTTCAAAGTCATCAAGAACGGCGTCGCCGACCTGGACCTCAAGTCGCCCATTTACATCCCCGGCCCCGTCGAGCCGCAGTTCGGTCCCGGGCGGCACATTTACTTTGAAGGGTTCTCGGTTGATCAGCACGGGAAGCAGCATTACATGGATGTTACCGTCGCCTATCGTCAGACGTGTCTTCGTACGTTTCCTCCTCCCTCTCTCTTCTGTTCTTTTCCTTCTCCTGCATGTTCTCTTCGTTGCTTCCTTGAATGTTACGAATGGAAGATTGATGATTATGATGTTTGCTAACGCAAACAACATAAAGGCGTCATCGAATACCTCCGCCGCTTCGGCTACAGCGACTACCAGGTCTACCTCCTCATGTCGTGCGCGCCCATCCAGGGTCACGTCGCGGGCATTGTCGACATACCCAACGCGTGCACGACCATTGGCCTGCCGATGGACATTTTCGACTTTGACATCTCGCCGGGCGCGGGTAAAGTCGAGAAGCGGGACCTGGGCAGCTGCGCTTTCGCGACGGGTGTGAAGGAGGGAACTGTTACCAAGGGCGGGGCGAATAGTCAGCATAGCTATGGTGGTGGGTTGACGTATAAGGAGTGAGGAATGAGACTGGGTTTGTGGAAGGTTTGCTGAGTGTGAGATGAGAGGTCTCCTTTGAGATGGAAGTTTTGTGCGGAGTTTCCCCCTTTCCCTTCACTTTTGTCTTGCCCCGTGTCATCGCGAGCGATTGGATCAGAGTTGCGAGGTCAAGTTTGATTGAAGTCGAATGAGGTTGGGCAAGCGTAGTCACGAGATATTGTAGTCGTCGAATCTTTATGTGAATTTCACTTATGAAATGCCAAACTCATCATAAAGCCGTGAGATTGCACTTCCCAATGAGAATCTCCCGACTTGAAAACAAGCCAAACTCCCCGAGTCATCGATTCCCGTTCCTCATATGATCCATACCTAACAACTCCGCCCCGCCATGCATTTATCAATAGGCTCTCTTGTCTCTATTCGTCAAAAGTCCGGAATCTCAGTCATCGCAGTGTGTCCCGTCGCGCCCGTATGAATCCTAGCCTCGGCCGTACCGCTGCCCAACCACTCACATCCAGGAGCATCGCACTTGCGCAGCGCATTATCGCCAAAGGCACCGCCAGCACCAGCAGAAGCACCAGCACCGGCGCCGGCACCACCCGAAGCACCACCACCACCACCGCCCGCAGGCTCGTCCTTGATCTCGCTGAAGCCCATATGCCCCGTCGCCTTGGCGTGCTTGTTGGCCTCCCTCTGCCCGTTGCCCAACCAGTCGCACCCGGCCACGGTACACCGCAGCAAGAACTCGGTGGTATCCGTAAAGTAGTGCATCTCGTGCAACTTACGAATCAGCGCGCGCGTGCGGTCGAGGACCTCGTCGTCGGCGGTGCTCCAGTTCGTCCTATCGAGTTCCGGAGGCAGGTCCGAGTGCGCGTAATGGGGCGGCTCCGAGGGGCTGCAGGCGATGCGGTCGTAGTGGATGCCCGAGTAGACGAGGATGCAGCGCGATTCCTTGTTCTCGCCGAAGCGCAGTGGGTTTTGGGATTTGACGTCGAACGCGACGACCTCGAGGTCGAAGAGGTCCGAGAAGATGCCGAGCTCGATGGCGCCGCCCCAGCGCTCGGGGTCTTGGATTGTGCGGATGTACTTCTCGACAGGCATGTCGAGGACGGCTTCGGGGTAGTCGTCTGGGTGTTGGCGGATGTAGTCTGCTACCATTTTGCGGAGCTCTTTGGCTTCCATTTGTTTGCCTGGGATGGCGCCGCCAAAGGCGGTGAAGAGGCAGCTGTTGTCGTCGGGCATCACGCGAAGGACTTGGGATATGGTGTCAGATGAGAAGGAGTTTGGGGGTGAAAGGCAGCCAGGTACTTACGTAACGTCGACTCACGCTCCGGCCACGGGATGCTGATATCCGAAGGGGACGGGTCGGCATCGGGATCGAGGCGGGGCTTCTTGGACGCCTCCAGGCCTCGAGATGCCGGGGCGGCGGCGGCGGGCGGAGGTGTGATTGCGCGATGGTGGGCCGGCTCGATGCTGAAGGACTGGCCGTTGAGGCCCAGGTCTTTGGCGTTGGCGTCCTTGTGCTCGAGGGTCAGGGTCTGAAGGGGCCAGCCGTACTTGAGGGTGAACTCGGCGATGCCCGTCTTGCCCTTGATCTCGTTGAAGAGGTCTCCGACTGTTGCGGTGTCCTCGAGTGAGACGACGCCTGTGCCTCCCGGACCCTTGTACCTGGCTCTCATTGTGAATATCGATGCGGACGTGCTTTGCTTTGCTGAAGGGATCTGTAGGATGATGAGTATGCGGGCCAAAGTAAAGATAGCAAGCTGAGATAGGTGTTTGATGGTGCAATGACGCACAGGCTTCAGAATGAGATGGAGTAGCGACCGACGGTAGACGATCTTGGCCGGGGACGGATCCGGACGGACAACCGATGGTAACCAAGCTCTTGATGGCGGGGTTCGAACGGAGGGGTTTATCTTATCGCAGAGTACCAACGGCGGGTTCTCACTCTGGAGACTCGAGTGCCAAGGAATCTGGACGTGAGACGTAGATAATAAGGATGCGCGTTGAGTTGGGTCACTTGGACTCAAGTGTCGATCCTGATTAGCTTCGTAGAGTCTTCTGGCGTGAGAGACACTAGGGCGAGATTCCTCGGTGAAGGAGGCGGGAAGGATGCTTCTGCAGCTATGCCGGATCCAAAACGATAGGGTTGACTTACAGAGGTGGCACCGCAAGGTTAAGGTAAGGTAGGGGTAGAACAGCTGCTGTCGAGGCTTCGGATGCACTAGAAGCTTCTCCGCTTATGAAGTAGCTCTAGAAAGCTGCTTTGAACAGGTCGTGTGATGTTTGGACCGTGGGAAGACGTGGAAAACCGAGTCTGAGCGTTTTGACAGCTGGAGCGTAGCTATTTCAACCTAAGCACCCAAGATGGGCTAGGTCAGACCGAGCCTCTGGACCACTCTGGTAGGGCAGCGGCTTCTGTCCGACTCGAGAACTTAGAGGATGACGGCGTCCACGGTTCCGGGTGCTGGGATTGGAGGTTTGTGCTTGTCTTTGATTGTTTCCGAGTGGAGAACTACTCCAATAAACGCTGCTGCAGCGACAATGACTTCATGGTTCCACGTTGCAATCGCCCACTTTGTCTTTCCTCCACCGAGTGCTTATAGAGTTGGTAGCTAAGCAGCGTTGTCAACATGTTGCGAACTATGGGGAGCGTTGATGAAGAGCTGGAAATAGCTGTCTCCAAAACCATGGGACAGGCATTAGGTGTCCCGCAGAGAACGGAGATATAGGATATCATGGTGCCAGGTCAGAGACAGAGAGGTCCTATCAGGGAACGAACTCATAACACTGTTTCTTAGGATTTGAGGAATAAGAGCTCAAGGAAAAGCCTTGGTCAGCTTACCAATGACTCTTTCCTTTAGTTCTCTCTCAACTCACTCTGAGAAAAGAAGAAGCTATTCCAAGAGGCGAGAGGAAGGTACAAAAGATGGCACCATCAAGTTCCTTCTCGCCCGTTGAGAAGCTCAAGGTACATCTTGAGGTACAAAGGAAGCCATTGATCTAAGTCTCATCCAATTGCCCGCCGCCAATGTTCCAGTTAGCCGAGGTGGAGCCGGAAGAGGCCACGGCCTGCCCCGGGCTGGTTCCTTGCTAACATCCCCTCGCAGCACCGCTTGTACCCGTAAGACCCCGGCCAGCTCCCGCCTCACTGCTTTCGCAAACCTTCAATTCCTCAGCTCCCCCCAAAGAAACGTAGTAACTTGTAGAATCCCACCTTTGCGACGGAAGCCCTCGACCCCCTCTCCTACTCGACCTTGCCAATCAAGAGGGTCCAGAGTCTCGCTTGAATCCTTGTGTCTTCAATTGTCTCCAGAGAGAAAAGGATTCCTTAAGCTGCCCTCGTTCTGCGATTCCCCAAAGAGGTTGGACGAAACTATGGCGACGCGCAGCGACGCGCCCGAAGTGCGCGAGTCCATCGAGGCCAAGGTCACCAAAGATGTCGAAATGACCGACGCACCCGACGCCAGCACCGCCGAAGCCAAGCAACCCGAACCGACTGTCTCTGCGAAGCCGGCTGAATCCGACAAAATGGATATTGACGCTGGTGCGAATGCCGACGCCGACGCCGATGCCGACGCGGACGCGGACGGTGAAGCGGATGCAGATGGCGACATTGACGTAGATGCAGACGCAGACGCAGACGCAGACGCGGATGGTGAAGTTGACGCAGACGCTGATGCAGATGGAGATCCAGATGATGGCGTCGCATCCCCCGTGGAATCCGAGCCTGGCGACCTTTTGGATGTCATCCAAACCATCAGCTCAACCGTGAGCAACTACAAGGATGAAGAGTACGTTCGGATCAGGCGCACCCTTTGCCTATCTTGCTGCTAATTAGTTGTCATCGCAGCGGTGAATGGTGGGCGGCTAGTTTCCAGCGCATCCCGAACAAACGTCAACTGCCAGATTACTTCGAGATTATCGAGAACCCCATCGCCTTCAGCACCATTCGCGTATGTCCTGCCCATTCGTAGAGCCTTGTTGGCACGACACAGAACTGACCCCGAGTAGCACAAGATCCAAAAGAAGCTGTACACCGATTTCCCCGAGTTTGTTCGCGATCTTGCACAGATTTGTCACAATGCGCAGGTGTATAATCGGCCTTCCTCGGCCATCTTTAAGAGTGCCACCGTCATCCGAGATATTTTCAAGAAGGAGTTGCAGAAACTCGTTGCCAAAGGCACGGTCAAGTCTGAAGAGGCAGAGCTTCCCGATTTGGGCGAGCTCCCGCCCGCAGAAGACTCGTCGCCAGAGGCCGAATCCGAAGAGGACGAAGGAGAAGAGGAGGAGGAGGAAGAGGAAGAGGAGGAAGACGACGAGTCCGACGATGACGGAAAACGCCGACGAAGCAGGAGGCGTGGCCGAACTTCGCTCACCAAGCGCCAGCTTGAGGAGGCCCGGGAGGAAGACGAACATAAGAAGCGCGGCCGCCCTCCCAAAGTCTTGACACCGCTCGAGGCGCGTATTCACAACGTCATCAAGGGCCTGCGCAAGTTCCAGTCAGACGACGGTGACTTGCTCATTGGTCCCTTTGAGAAGCTGCCCGATAAGCTTGCGAACCCGGACTATTACCAAGTCATCACCAACCCTATTGCGCTCGACAACATCAAGAGAAATGCCAAGAGGAAGAAATACTCGACTGTCGACGATGCGCTCAAGGATATCGACCTCATGTTCAACAACGCAAAGGAGTACAACGAGGAGGCCAGTGACATTTACGAAGCCGCTGTCGAGCTGCAGAGGCAAGCACGTGAGCTGGTTGCGCAGGAAAAGTCGAGGCCAGACGATGAATTCCGTGACGAGGATGGCAAACTGCCACTGTCGGAAATTCAGCACAACGGCCAAGCATGGCGAGTCGGTAAGTTCTGTTCCCGATTCCTAGGTTATTCGAAAAGGATGAGTCGGGGTGCTAATATCGTGCAGGCGATTGGGTGCATATTCGTAATGTCAACGACATGGCCAAACCCATTGTCGCGCAAATATTCCGAACTTGGCAAGACCGAGCTGGACAGCGATGGATCAACGCTTGCTGGTACTACCGTCCCGAGCAGACGGTGCACAGGTTCGAGAAGCACTTTTTCGAGAACGAGGTGGCAAAGACGGGCCAGTATCGCGACCACCAGATCGAAGAGGTGCTCGACCGATGCTTCGTCATGTTCGTTACGCGGTTCAATAAAGGACGGCCGCGTACTCTGCCGGCGGATAAGGAGGTGTACGTGTGCGAGTCTCGGTACAACGAGGCGACTTGTAAATTCAACAAGATCAAGACGTGGACGAGCTGCGTGCCTGACGAAGTCCGGGAGAAGGATTACGAGATGAAGCTGTTTGATCAGCCGCGACGGCTCAAGAAGGTGCCCAGCCCGATCAAACACCTCTTGCAGGCGGATGCGAAGGAAACGGATGAGCTCCCGAAACCGACCTGGGGGGCAGCAAACGCACCGCCCATTATTGGTGCCGTGCATCGGCGCCCTCGAGAATCAAACGTGAGTCTGGATGTGATTCATTCTGTTTTCCCTGCTGTTATTCCTTTCGTTTGGTCTATTAGAATGACCCTGGGCCGGACGGGTGTCGTGAAGGAATACGGTATACACGCTGGAAGACCTGCACGAATACCACACATACAGCCTTACCGTGCCGCCTCCTGGATGAAGGAGGTGGACAATTGCCAACCCTCCAACACACCAGCACCAGCACCAGTACACCCTCTCGTCGTCCCTCTCGGTTATGCAGTGCAGGCAGATAAAGGGAGCGACGCGTGTGGGTGGGATAACAACACCCTGCATCCCGTATCAGACGTACTTCGCAGCAGAAATTTGTGCCTTCACCTCTTACTTCACTCCTGCCCTCACTCTTGATCTCATTCTCATTCTTATTCTCACCCTCACCCTTCACCTTTGCTCTGCAAATTTCAAACTCAGCCTCACTTTCACTCTTTTTATTGCGCGTTAGTTTATTTTTCTTTCTCTCACAACCTATCTTTCGGGCTTTCACTTGGTCTTCATTTGGTTTTCTCCGTTACTGACAAAATTGACTTTGATCGAACAGGAGTCTCCTCCACCTGAGCCCACGCCTTCTCCGCCGCCCATGAGCCAAGAGCCTGCGCGACGGCCTTCAGTTCTCCAAGCGATGCGCCAGACGCCGAGCGACATGTCGATGGGTAATCCTCCCACGCCTTATGGGCACGGAATGGGAGCTGCGCCGTCTCCGTCGCCAGCAATGTATGCTCAGCAGTACACGCCTCAGCATGCTTCAGCATCGCCAGTCGCGGTGAACCATCAAACGCCGGTGCCTCTACCCCAACTTCCTCACCAGGCGTCTCACTCTCCGCAGCAGCCCATCCGCCCCATGTACCAGCAGCAAGGATTTGCGCCAAGCCCGTTCCAGCACCAGCAGCACCCACAGCACCATCAGCAGCAGCAACAGCACCATCCCCACCACGCACCACAGCACATGCACCCTCAGCAGCAGCAGCACCACCAAGGCCCGCCCCCTCCAGCACCTCAGTTCCAGCAGCACCACCTCCCGCCGCACCAACAGCAACAGCACCAGCACCATCAGGCCCAAGCGCCGCCGGTCCCACAGCAGCACCACCACCAGCAACAGCACGGCCACCACCAAATGCATCCACAAATGAATCCCATGGGCGGCCCGACCTACAACCATCATCAAATGCAGCCTCATCCCGCTGCAGCCCGCACCCCCATGGCCAACACGCCCAATGCCATGCAGCCCGCCAATGCCTACAACCCTCCTAGGCCTCCCGAGGTTTTTACCCTGGCCGAATCCCTCAACGACCAGATCCCCGAAGAGGTGCGCAGCCAGTACAACAGGGACGAGAACGGCAGAATCTTTTTCTACTCCACACCGCCCATCGCCCGCCCCGAACACGGCCTCGCCCCAGACAATGCCAACTCGGGCCACAGCCTCGCCTACCTTGCTAAGAGCAACCCGCAATGGCTGGCCGAACGCGCCTCCCGCGCAAAGCCCTTTGCCGTCGCCAAGCAGAAGGAGTTGAAGGTCAAGATGGCCCTCGACAAGGTCACCGAACCCGCCAAGGGCAAGACGGGTGATGAGCTTCGCGACTGGGCCGCCGACTCCCTGGTCCGCTACGTCGAGGCGCACGCCCAGGAGACGTCGCGCATGCGCCAAGAGGGCGATCTGGACGGTCACGACCGCCTCATGAAGGAGCAGCGCGCCGCGCGCCGCAAGAAGACGAGAAAGGAGCTGGAAGAGGAGGAGGAGCGAGCCGACGAGGCGAAGCGTGCCAATTACCTCGAGGACATTTACTTTGTCCACTCCAGTCTGCGCACGCCCAAGCCTGCTCACTGATCGAAGGATCAAGCAATTCAATGTGTATTCTAGTCGACACCATCCCTGCTTCTCTCTGTCCCTTGGATGCAAGCTTGTAATTGAAGGGCCTTGGGTAAGGCAGGGAGGATTCGATCTCCTGGGTAGAAGGGGAGCGGAGTTTTTTTCGGCGGGTCGGACTGCTGTGATACCTATTGGCTTTTTGGAGTTTTGAGGGGAAAACGAAATGGCTCACTGTATCAAAAAGATTATCATCGTCAGGGCATCATGAGACGATATTCATGAGGCCTGTTCAAGTACCTAATTTGCACAATTGAGATGAACAGTATTCAGAGATCCCGTTGTTTTCAGGTGTGTTTCACCATCATTCCCCGTGATGAATTTCATGTCTACACAGGAACTGTTGATGAATGGTCTCATTCCATGATGACTTGGTGTCTATTTATGAGTAGTGATCCAAGTGCGTTCTGCCACGATTCAATCTGAGTACCTAGGTAGCTGATACCAAATCATACTGAATCCATCAGCGATACGCCGAACCACACATTTTGGTAACCTTCATCACTATGCACCCCTCCAAACCCGAAGCCTTTGAAGGGAGTAAGACATCTTAAAATGAACAAGACAAAGGCTGATCTGGGAGACCAAGCTCTGTGAATGGCTAGCGGGCTGTACCTGCGCCGTCGAGGCAGCGGCCCGGCCGAGTTCCTCCGGCCACTTACTGTACGCAGTCACTGCAGTATGGAAACCTTCTATGCTTCTTTGGCAGTTTTTTGCCTCAGGACCCTTGCCCCATAGTCAACACGTCTTTGCACCAATCACACGCAATGAGACGCAAGCTCTCCAGTGCATCGAACCCGACAGGCCAGAGCTGGACCCGACCAGGGGGTACTAGCGTAGATCTGATTCGCCCCCCCAAAGTCATGTGCCAGGTTGTGTGACTCTACCGCTGAATCTTGAGTGAGATGCTTAGCATTTAGATGTTCTACTTCTGATGAGATCTCAACATGGAAAGTCGCCAATTACACCAGATGAGAGGTATTAATTTCTATATGATTGTTCCTACTCCCATAATGTTTTAAAACCCATAAACGACGTGAAACTGAGACTGTGCTCCTCAATATATGAGTCTCGAATGTTAGTGTAATGAATAAAGTACCCAGTCCCGCCCATCCAACCCGAGCGGACGTTTGTGCCCGTGTGCCGCCCACTTTACACTCAGAGCCACCAGAGATCGGACCCTTTCCTTTGGGCGAACCGATTCGCGTGGTGAGGGGCAAATGCAGCGCAGCACGCTAATTGAGCCTCGCTCTGCCCAAAGGCGGCTAGGATTGAATGATTCGCTGACGTTCTCGATTCCTAGTTCCGACTACATCTCTCTCACCTCTCCTTACTCTTACTCATAACCGCCTTTGCGCCTTCTTACTTTCGACTTCACCTCTCACCTCTCATTTCTCTCTCTCAACCCGCGAGTTCACGAACTTCATCACCCTCTAAACCCCGAGGAAACCGACACACACGCCCGCATCCGATTCACCGTATTGCTCATCCGCCCAACCCACTTTCCTCTTTACCGTTCGTCTATCCGGGTTTCGCTGATTAAAGCATTCCGTTTGTGGCGAGTTCGTCCATCAAGTCTTGAACCGTTCTTGTCGTCGGACCGAGGACTTTTTGAATTTCGTTTTCACAAACTCTTTGCTTTCTCTTTCTTTTTACCTTGCTGTGCTTGTACTCCGTCATCTTAGTTTGAGCCATCCGCGAATTTCCCGGTGTTTATTCTGCATAGCCCCGTCCTTGTTCTTCTTGGGTGGCGTCGGCGTTCCGTGCGGGTAGTAGGAGGACTTTTACGACTTGACGGCTCCGACACATCCACGGCTCACATTGGCTGTTTCTCCTGAACCTTGCTTTCGGTTACTCTTCTGGTTGGGATACCTGGTCACGTCGGGTTCTTCATTGGGTGTCAGTTGAAGGGTCCAAGCCGAAATCGACTCGAGGCTATCGACAACAAAGCATCGTTACTATTCGACACAACGACCGCCATTTTTTCTCTCTGCACTTCCAGCAACCTGGGAATCATAGCAACCCGGCCGCCCAAGATCTGCGGCAGCCTCCAAACCTCGAAATCAAGAGTGTACTTGGGCCAGCCAGGCCAGTACTAAAGACTAAGTCGACAACTGGGTCGCCACCTATCCAATATCAGATCGAAACTATTCTCCGTCCTTCTCTCCTCAACCTGTTCGGCCAAGATATACGGCTCCTCGAAACTCTGAAGCCAAGGTTGAGCCAGATACCTGAGGCTCTTGTCGTGAGCTTTGGCTAGAGAGAACCCGGTCTGGTTCTAGATCAACAATTACGGCCAGCTTAAGGTGGTCGTTCAGGGCAGAGTTTGCTATCTCCGATGAGTGTCACGGTTTCCACGGTTGATTCCGCACCCGCCAAACCCAATTGCCTCCCGTCACGGCCCAGGAGCTTGGTCATAACATCCAACCTTGATCCTCTTTTTGGGATTCCTAGAGGGTTCCCGGTACCTTGACTATCACCAAGGGCTTCCAAGAAGGTTCCCGGCACCTTGACTATCACGAACATACTTCGAGTATCATTCGGATACAAATAACTTGCTCAGAGACACCACAAGGGTTCCCGTCGTCGTCTTCATCTCCAGCACTATAAGATGGACTCCCCAATCCCTTCTCTGCAGTCCTCGGACCTAGCAGGAACATCTCACTCATCTTCTTCATCTCCTACACAACCACCTACTTCCCTAGGAGATTTTAGCAAGCTGTTTGAGAATCTGCGAGTTCACGAGACTTCTACCTCATCTACACGTATTCTCTCTTCGCCAGACAGAGTCTACTCTTCTTCTTTACATTGCTTTGAGCCTCTTTGCAAGTCAGCGAGTCCCTCAAGCAAACAGTCTCAGCCACTTCTTCTCCTCCCTCTCATATTCACCACAGAAGAAATGGCCAGAACTGGCACCAAGCGGAACTACCAGTCCTTAGACTTGGCCGAGGTCAAAAGGCCAAAGGTCGAGCCCAAGGACAAGAAGCCTGCCGTCGCTGCCGCTGCCGCCGCCATCGCCGTCGGAATGGTAGCTCGGGCCTCTTCAGACTCGGGCTACCATTCCGACTCGTCCGCCGCCGCCGCCGCCGACAACGACAACGCGGGAGAAAGGCTCTTCAACAAGCAGACCGCCAAGAGACCTCCTCCCAGCTCCCAGCTCCCCTTGGCCGCCCGTCTGCAGCAGCGCTTCGGAGCTCGCGACGAGTCCTTGGCCCTGGCTTACCCGGAGCAATGCGCCCGCGGTCTCTACATCTACGCCGACGGCTCCAACATCTCCGTGTCCTTCTTCAACGACCTGAAGAAGCGCATGGGCATGTCCAAGGACCAGCGCCTCTCAACCTCCGCCTTCTCCTTCCACGCATTCAGGGGAATACTCGAACGAGGCAGAGAGGTCAAGGAGGGCGTGATCGTCGGCTCCCGTAACAACAAGGCCGGCAACAACAGGTCCTCCTCCTCCCCTTCCTCCGTCCCCCTGTACCTGCAGGAGGCCGAGGCGTGTGATTACACCGCCAAGGTCCTCCAGCGGGTACCCGCAGACAACTCCTCGTCTGCGGGCTCCTTCGCGATGAAGGAGCAGGGGGTCGACGAGACGGTTCAGCACCACATGCGCAAGGCCGTCCTCGACAACCTCGGTGCCCCCGGCGTCATGATCCTCGCTACGGGCGACGGCAACCTCGACGGCGACATGGAGGGAGGCTTCCCCGCCGCCGTGCAGTCCGCCCTCGCCAACGGCTGGGTCGTCGAGGTCTACCACTTCGCCGAGTCCGCCCACTCCACCTGGCGCGACCCGCGGTTCCTCCACAACCCGGAATGGGATGGCCGCCTCACATGTCACGCGCTCGACGACTTCGTCTTTGACATGGATGCCAAGCAACAGCCGGTCACTCCGCTCGGAGCTGAGGTGCCTCGCACAGCCAAGAGCACCAGACGCGAGAGCCGGCCGGCTTACGTGCCGTCTTGGACCCTGCCACCTACTCAGAAGGCAGCCCCCGTCTCTCTTCCTCCGGCACCGGCAGCTGCGGCAGCAGTCACTCCCCCGCCAAGTCCCCCCTTGGAGATGGCACCCGCGAATCCAGAGGAGATGGCTCAGGCCGGACAGATAGCCGAGTTGGTGGGCAAGCTGAAGCCGGAGTTGATACCCGTCATCGCCGCCTCCCTCCTCCGCGCCGCCTCGGCCACTCCTCCTGCTGCTCCTGCTCCCGCGCGTATTCCTTCCGCATCACGCGGGGACGCTAGTGGCTTCGCCGGCAGTGCAATGGGCTACTTCGGAGCCCAGGTCCCCTCTCCGCCCGCCCTCTCCGCCTTCCCCCAGACCTACCCCCTCCAGTACCCCCAAGCCACCTCCTACACGGCGGCCTTGGGCCAGTACCAGTACAACGGGGTCTGGGGGAACCAGGTGGGCTACTACGGGCACACCGGCTGAGTCATTTCGACCAGCCTTTTTTAAACCCTCTTCTCTTCTCTTCCCTTCTTCAGACCCCTTCTCTGTCCTCTTTGCTCTGGGCTTGCTCAGCCGAAAGGCAGCAACCAGATAAATTTCACAGCTTAGGGAAAGATGAAGGGCAAGACCGGTATATGGGAGGGGTTCGCAGGCCTGAAAGACGGCTCTGGCCCCGTGGATATTTGGGATGGTATACGGGAGGGGTACGCAGGCCTGAAAGACGGTTCTGGCCCCGAGGATTCTTTGGGTCGCCTTCGGGCACTTTTTTTTTGGCCTTCGGGCAAGCCTTCGGGCAACTTAACTTAGGTATATGGGAGGGGTAGCAGGTCTGAAAGACGGCCTGGCCCCGGGGATTCATGGGATTGGTATATGAGAGGGGGACAGGTGCTTGAAATATGGCGCCTGTTCCCCGTGGATTTGGGGAGGGAGAAGTGGGCAGGTGGGAGTTTTTTTGAACGCGATACTTTTTTTGAGTATGACGTTTTTCTCCCGGTGCTGGTGAGCATAAAATGCGCTGGCG